GTTGCCCTGGCCCTGGAGCTCTACGTCTCTGACGAGCAGTCACCAGCCACATCGACCTGATCAGTGTTTGATTGTTGTGTCTTGTTGCTTTTCTTCTTTTGTCTCTCCTCTATCCACTCACCCCAACTGGTCAAGGCAGAAGGTCGCCCACCAAGAGCCGGGGTCTGTCGGAGGTTTCTTCCGTTAAAGGGAGTTTTTCCTCCCCACTGTCGCCAAGTGCTTGCTCAAGGGGGATTTGTTGGGTTTTCCCTATTTAATAATATTGATAACAGTAAGGTCTAGACCTTACTTTGTAAAGTGTCCTGAGATGACTTTTGATGTGATTTGGCGCTATACAAATAAAATTTGATTTGATTTGATTTGATTTAACCACCATGCCACCATGCTGCCCTTGAGAGCAACCAACATTCAGTATATAAATCAAGCTGTGCCAGCTTCTTGAATGTAACATTTTCTGGTAAAGTAGTAGTAGAACATTAATTTGGATTTACTGTAATAAAACATTTTTAAAATTAGGTTTCTGCCAGCTGTCATTCAGCTTTTTATTTGGCCATGTGTAACATTTATCTGTATACAAAGTTAGAAACAAACAACAGGCATCATCAAATGTCTAATTGTTTCTTGAATGTTAACTTCTCCTGGTAAATTTGACTTTAGTACTACATAGGGTTATTAAATATCATCTTTAACATTAGCTTGCTGCTGTTTTGTCATTTTAATATAGTTGTACAGCCACAATATCCTTCACAGAATAGTGGGCTACTTGGTTTATTAAATTTTTTTTCAAAATATGTTTTTGTCAAAGCATCTCGGGTACCATCTGTCAAACACTATTTTCAGGAATTTTCTAATATACCGTGAGAAGCTGGACGAAGCAAAGGCCTGGCTACATGAGATTAGAAAACAAGCATGTGTGCACATGTGATGACTCTACCCGTGTGTTTTAAATCCATGTACTCTCCGATCCCGAATTAATAAAATGCCATCAAATCAACCTTTTCAGCTTCTCCTCAGGGTCCAAACAGCTGATGTTCTTCTATATGACAAGGAGAGCGTTAACATGCTGATCTCAGACTCAGATTTAGACTCATCTACAGAGGATCTCAGTGTGATTGTAAACAGGTAAAAGAAGATAACGGTGCTAAAAAAAATAAAGATAAGAACACTGAAGATTAAACATAAAAATGTGTGCATTAAAATAATAAATATGTGCAATCCAAGATAGGAAGCATAGTGTACATGTACATATAAATTACGGCAGAAGGGTTCATCATGATGTAAACAGTGGTTGGATTTACAATGTACTGCACAGAGGTGATTGTTGTGTCTTGTCATACAGTCATGGGTTAGGTGTTCATCAGAGTGATGACACGGGGGGAAGAAACTTTCCTTGTGTCTGGTTGTTTTGGTGTACACTGACCTGTAGCGCCATCCACACAGGAGGAGTTCAAGCAGTTTGTGTCCAGGATGTGATGAGCGTGCAGAAATCTTCTCCGCCCTCTTTTTGACCCATGAGGTGTATAGGTCCTCAATGGAGGGCAGACTGATACTGATGATTCTGTCTGCAGTCCTGACACTTTGCTAGTGTCTGTTCCTGTCCTGTTTGGTTGCTGAGCCAAACCAGACAGTGATGGATGAGCAGAGAACAGACTTGATCATTCCTCTGTAGAACTGTATCAGCAGCTCCTGGGGAAGGTTGAACTTCTTGAGCTGACACAAGAAGTTCATCCTCTGCTGTGCCTTCTTAGTGATGGTGCTGATGTTGAACATCCATCTAAGGTCTTGGGAGATAGTAGAGTCCAGGAACTCACTGAAATCATCTGTTCTGCTCACAGGTCTGTCCTCCCTCCCTCTTAAATCTGTTTCTGCTCTTACAAAATCTATGCCTGTGGGCTCTCAAAGTCTGGTTTGCAAACTGAAGAGAGCTCACAACCTGTTTTGTGCGCTTTATAACTTTTGGTGCAGACAGACTTTCATACAAACTCCAGTGGAGACATCCGAGAGCACAGAATCAGAAATGAGAGCCTGGGTTATGCTTTCAAATCTGACTCTGCACTTACAAAACTGTGCTTGTGCCCTCTCAAACGTTGAGTTGCAAAGTGCACAGCATTTGAAATGTGGTTAGAGTTACGTCTACAATTTTCACATGAAGACAGAAAAAAGGAAAATGAGCACATTAACCACACAATTCTACTTTCCTCATTCAGAAGTTTGAAAACAAGGAAGAAAATTGCTCGTTTTATCAGGTTCATATATGGCTAAATATAAGTAAAAAGGACATCTTTTCTTATTTGATTTTTGTATTTTTTAAGTGAAAAATTGAATATTTTTCATTATCATTTTCTAGCCTGAAGAACAGATTCTAGCCTACATGTGGATAAATACTGAACACATAAATGATAGTTGTAACTTAATGTAATTTAATCAGTATTTACAACAAAGAAGTATATAAGCACTGGCAAATTTATAGTCTATAGCAAAAAAAACAAACCCTATAACTATCATACTATAAAGAACTGATATAGTCTGTTATTCTCATGCATGCAAGCAGTCACTACATACTAATTTCTTTTTATCTTTCTTTCCTCCTTTCAAACGCAGTTGTAAAAAGCATTGTTGCTATCAGTGTTTATGAAACAGGCAAAATTAAATTAGAAAATAACAACTAGTGTTTTGTACTGAAGATAATCAGGTCATAGGCCTGAAGAAGGAAAGCTGGAACTTTTATAGCAGCCTATACAAGTGATATTTTTGTCATCAAAAATAGTTTGACAATAGAAGTAGCGTATGTATAACTCCTAAATCATGCACAAATTTCCCTCTTGGGATAAATAAATTAGCCTATAGGCCTGTTATCTTATCTTATCAGAAAATAGAATGGCTCAGGTGTCATTTTTTTAAATTGCCATCTCACAATATCAGTTCTAATTTCATTTTAATTTTTTCAGTATTTCTTGGCTTGATTATCTTGCACGGCAGAGTCCAATATATTATGATAGCAGCTAATAATGTATCTGCCAGTTTTAACTTTCCATTCCATTTCTTTTTGAATTTTGGATGAAGCTCTACTCCATACACTAAACTAAGGCCTATATCAAGATGAAAATTCCAAAAATTGGGAGTAAAAAATACATTTTTCTTTGAACCACATGTGGTCTCCCTCAGTTTCTCGCGGTGTACGCCGGCTGCTTAATGAAACTAACCCCGTTTTGTACACAGGTGACCCAGCAACGATCCTTTAAAACGCACAGGTGGAAGCTATTTGTGCACATAGCTGATTAGTGTGTAAATGCTTCGTAATTTAACCGCAACTTCTCAGTTTGATTGATATTCGATGCTTTCACAGCAATTATGAGTACTAGAGCAGGAACTCCTTACATCGGCAATAAAATAAGCTTGATATCCAAGGCACAGATCCGTTATGAGGGGATACTGTCGTGCGTCGACACAGAAAGGTCCACCATTGCTTTAGCTAAAGGTAGGTTGATGTTTTGTGTAGAGTAACGAGGCCATGACCGGCAGGTTACACCTGTAACTCTTTTCTACTTGAATTGTATTTCTCCAGTTAAATCGTATGGGACAGAGGACCGGCACACTGATAGACCAGTGCCACCCAAAGATGAGGTTTATGAATACATAATATTCCGAGGAAGCGACATCAAGGACATTACTGTGTCTGAAGCCCCAGCATCTCGCCATGGGCTGCCTCGTGACCCTGCTATTGTACAGGTAGGCGAAGTGGCTCAGTGGCTTTTTAAAAGCCATTTCCACTCTGTAGATGTGTCATTAAAAGTCCTGTTCACAGCTGATTTAGTTCATTTTTTTTTTAAGTCGTCCATAGGCAGCCCCTCTGCTGTGTATCACCCACGATGGAGTCCATACCGGGACATTATGCCCACCTACAACCAGCTTGCTGCCAGTTCTCTACTCAACCAGCAGTACAATGTAGCACTGGGCCTAGGTACAGTTAACTATGACATGCTGAGACTTTTTTTTTTCCTGTGTATGTGCAGTTAATCAAGCACCACTTTTTTTTATATATATTTTTATTATTTAAACAGGACTTCATGGCATCCCAGCCAGAAGAGCACCCATGGTTGAGCAGGCTGTTCAGACAGTGCCACTCACTAGTGCTGCCCAGAAAAGGGGGAAGACTTCAACCCAGCCACAGAGCAGACAGCCTGTTGGCCCCAGCCAGGGCCCTGGCCAGGATGGTTCCCAGGTTCAGAAGGAGAATCTACCCACCAGTAAGCAGGCTTTATAGGGCTTTTAACTTCACATGAAGGTGTCTGTCTTTAAATGCTTACATTACCTTTTAAAACTGAATTAGTGCCATCTTAAACATTTATGTTCACATTTAGGTCAAGCACCATCTCAGCCAAGTACAGCAAAGACTCAAGACCAAAGCAAAGACAGCCAGAAGCAAGAGCAAAAACAAGGTATCGGGTTTAAAAATGCTCATTCTTACTAATAAAATGGCTGCTTTTGGTGTCTGGGCAGTGGGAGTTTTGTCAAAGTAAGTGAATATTGCTCATCTGTCTAAGCAACAGATAAAATAGAACATCAGAGACCAGACCCTGTTATGAAACTAGTTTTATAAATTGTGTGTCCTGTTTGTCTGAACTTTGTGGTGCTCTTGTCTGAACTTTGTGGTGTTCATGTGCAGGAAGTCGCAGGTCCAGGAACCGAAACAGAGGCCAACTTATTGTGAGAAACTCTAAGGCTACGACCTTGCAGTTTGAATCAGATTTTGATTTTGAAACTGCAAATGCTCAGTTTAAAGATGACCTTACAAAGGAGGTTGTAGGTATGCATGGTTTTAAAATGTATCAGTTCAGTTTCTGTAGATGACATAAAACCACCTCAGTGTATATGCGTCTTCTTTTTGCAAGTTGCTGTAGTTGAGAAGGTCGATTCTGTGGAGGCCCAGGACCAAACTCTCAGAGAGAAATACTATGACAGAGCCAAATGCTTCTTTGACAAGGTCTCGTCTGACCTTAAGCCCAGGTGATTATGTAACCTCTGCTGGCTGTCTTGGCATTAGTGGTTTGTCCTGGTCTGAATTCAGCTAACGTGTGTGTGTGTGTGTGTGTGTGTGTGCACCCTAAGGAGAACAACCTGGGCAGAAGAGAAAAAGTTAAACATGGAAACATTTGGAGTGCCTGGCCGCTTCCTGAGAGGCCGAGGATTCAGGGGCCAAGCACGCAGAGGGCAGAGCGCTACTCCACAACCTGTCCCAAAAACAGGAGGTGCAAGGGTGTGAATGCTTTTGTTTATAATTCCTGTAAATAGTCATTTTCTACTTATTTAAAAGTACCTCCCTATGTTCCCTCTTTTGAAACTCTTGGAGCAAAGATGTATTTTTGTTATCACAAATGTGTGTTTTGGGAATAATGTGCTTGGACTCTTACATGAAATGGGATCAATTTATTTTTAATCTAGCAGCTGTGCATTAAAACATTCCTTGGTAGTTTGAGGGCATGCAATGCTGGAATCTGTCATTTGAACAAGCCAGCAGGCATGCTATTTTTCTTTAGTTTTGGAAGCCTCTGGAGGGCTGACTAAAGCTGTAGTGTTTGGATGGTGTTTACAGCCTTTAGTTGGTTCAGTACTAGTCGCATTTGCTGATTGATCAGCCTTGGTTGAGACTTGTTCCACTTTAGAAACAACACTTTTGTGACATGAAGCCCTTGACTGACATGGCTTTTTTTTTTTTTTTTTTTTTTTCCCCCCCCCCCCCCCCCCCTTGTTAAACTGGAGAAATATAACAGTTGCTAATAAATACCATGTGATAACGATGCTGCGTCTGTACTGTAGTTATCATTGAGAAGGGGCACTGTTTACATACACCCCCACTGTTCAAATAAATTCTGACTACAGAAGAGCATGGGTTCAGTTTTGAAAATGCAGTGGTTTCTAAAAAGCCACTCAGTTGAATTTGGGGGCCCAACTCTGAGTGATGGGGATAGCCGATAGTCCAGCTCTTCCTCTGTCTCCTGTAGAGGGCAGAGAAAATCAAACTAAATACTGTGCTTATTTTACTGTTGCAGCCTCTTGACAACACTGCCTTTACACACAATATACACCTGTTACAGCGAGGCTAGGAGCTCTCCATCCATGCATAGCTTGGGTTTCTTCTGTAGGAGGCACTCACTGTACTCACGCCTACAAAGTTCACATTGAAATTCTTCTGCCATTGCTCTGAAGTAACTGCAAAAACTGAATCATTGTTACTCTACCTGGTGGTGGCTATTGGAGAATCTCATGTTGCCTTTAAGATTGGAGGAATGTGAAATGGGAGCAGATGTAAAAATGAATACTTGAACATAGTTTCTCATCAACTTTCAGTCGGTGCGTATTTATAGTACATGCTTATTATTTGCATTGAATTGACCAGAAAGGATTTCTCTGCTGTAATCAGGTGTTTGTAAATTACATTTCTCTATATCCTGTTGACGAGTATAGATATTTCAATATCAATTTTTATATTTTAGCAGTAACTGACCAACTTGGTGTTCCACAAAAAAAAATCTTTCACAGATGTACTTCAAGTTTTACAGTTTAGAGTGGGGGAAGAAGTCCATTTGAATTGATCTCCATCAGTACCCACCGTAGTTGGAACCTTTTGTGCATTGCATTCAGTTGTGGACACTTTGCCATTTAGGTGGAACGTGGCATATCTGATCGGTGCACTGCCAGGAACCTCGGGGGAGTCGCTGATAATTACATGGAGAGAAATCTGTCATGGTGTCACTGATATGTTTGCAGATGTTTCTTAGCAGTGACCTTGCAGTCTTTTATTTGAAATTTTTTTTCTTCCCCCCCAATGTTTGATGTGAGGAGAGTTTCTCCAGAGGAGTCACCAGTCTGCAAAGTGGTGAACTCTTAGCAGGAGGTGACTGCTGCCATCAGCAGCAGAACTGTCGGTGTGGCAGACAATATTCAACTTGCAGTGAATGATCAGAATTGCATCAATACTTTTTTTTTTTTTTTTAATATATAGGCCTATTCCAGTATACTGATATGAACTAAAGGCAGTGTTTCAGTTTCTCTGTGGTTATAGCACCACGGGCAGCTTCTGTGGCAGTGTCTCAGCGGGTTTGGCAGTTGGCCGTTACAGAACAGACGTGCACAGTCACACTGAGGTTATAGATGCCAGACTCTCCCTGCATGTCTCAGATCTTCAAATTGTGTGGGCTAGCAAACATACAGGGCTTCATCAGACCAACTGTGTAACCTCAGTTGATTACAAAATATAATAGCTGTTTGTTTTTTTGTTTTTTTAATTAAATCTGATATATAACTGCATAGCTTAGGTTTCGACTACCATATGAGGGATTCAGTTTCCTTTGACATCCCCCAGCAGCCCAAATGTGAAGGGCCCGCCAAAGGGCTTTTCATTCAGGACAAAGGCTGTGGTGGTGGTGGGGCTGTCCAACATCTCCAAGTAGTACACTGTCAGCTGTGGCATATCGTCTGGTCTATCACATGGAGTGTAGCTGTGTCTGGCAGTGGTGGTTTACCTGTCCAAGATAAATAGTCATATGGTTGTTGGTATTTGAATGAAAGCTTTTCAAATATTTGGGGTGTCCATGAGACCAGCAACCTGTGTTTTTGAAGGTAGAGATGTAATCTGTGTGAGGATCCACAATCACCCAGTCAGCTGGATCATTTTCTTCCTTGTACCCATGGACAAACACAATTTACTTTAAGTCCTCAGATTAGAGCTCCAATGTGTCAAAAGAAATATCCCACTTAATCTCTTGCATGACTGGAGTCAAGATCGACTGAAGTCACTTTCTCTACCCAGGCTCTGAGTGCGTTTTCCCTAAGCATAACCTCTTTGCCAATCCAACTGAACACTGGAGGGTCACTGGTACCCTCTACCTCAAAGACATTTACAAAGGGAGGCTGACCTGCACCAGGACCATCATCTTTACTGGTCTCAACAGTTCAGAGGCCTGAGGATGTCCTCTCCTTCACTCTGCAAGAGAAATACTGTGCTTGATGTGCCAGAGAGAGATGGTTCCCTCTGTGCTTTTAGTCTAAAGGCTGAAATTAAACTAATGTTAAATTGTTAATCCATTACATGTATTAATAAAACAAAATGTGCAGACATGATGGCAAACATGCGTGTCATAATTTTATGTCAGAGTAGAGGCGGGTGCCACATTTATGTACAGCAAACAGCACTTTATTTTTTTTCCTACTGACACGATTCCATTGTTGGTGTGTGGCTCTGGTTCAGTCTCAAAGTGCTCTCCCCTCGTCGCTGTGTGTGATGTATCTCGCTCTCCACGCCAGGCTGTTTGGGCTGTCCCTCCCTGTCTGTCACGTGCAGCCACAGAGGAGAGGGCCCAGTCTTCCCCTCCTTCACTTTGCCTGTGAAGGAAATCTGTCAATAGTACTACCTAGTGCTGATATCGAGAATATACAGTACACTCACTGTGTTAAGTGTACGTTTCATCTACAGCTACCTGAGGTTGAAAGGTAATGCTGCTTCTTGACTCAGATGGTAGATGTGACTTAAGAATGTAAAATTAACTGGATTTTAACTTGCTGTTTTCCTTTCATAAGTAATGTTTTAGGCCAGATTTTCCTGCAAATGAATCTCAATATTTGAATATTTTTTTTTAGGAATTTTGATATTCACAACTTATTTGCTGAAAATTCTTTTGGCTGGGGCAAAGAAATATCAAATGGTTTAATGAGGATAGGAGACAGGAGGATTTACAAGCTGATTAAAAGAAGAATATAAATAGCGGCCATAGTCAAATGTTTTCCTGGGGCCAGAGCAGGTGACATTAAATCCTATTTGAAGCTGCTCTATTATAGCCAATGTGTGCTATGTTTGTGCATCATGCTTTGGTCAGTGTCAGCTTTTACATGTGAAGCAGCTTGAATGTTGATTGAGACATAAAAAGTAGTTCCCTAGAACTCGTTGCTTAGAGCAGTGAGTTTGAGCACACAAAGATATTTATTGTGCAAACCCACAAAGTCCTTACTGTTAACTAGATGACAGACTGTGCAAATCCAAAGATGATGTAATACAGTATGTATTGAGTCTATAAGTTTTGTCTTCTCCCTTTAGTGCACAACCCAGTGGCCAGACACTGTGCAAGACTTTATGCAGGGAGAGGATGCCCTTTGGCTCCTCATCCACTCGTTCCCCATGGAGATCAATATGTATACGACACAGCAGCAGACGCTTAACAGTCGACTTCTGAGAGTCTGAAACTTGCATTCATCATCATAAATTTTCATAATGAAGAACCTTCAGTATGATTTAAAGACTGAAGAAAATGATTGCATGTGTCAAAGAAATGCTCATTAGACATAGATAAAAACAATTCAAGAATCTGTCCTTAAGAGCTCTGCATGCAAATGATAATGTTTCAATGTACTTATTATCAAGTGAGGAATTTTGATGTTGGAGTTTAAAAGTGAATGCAGGGCCTTTTCTGGTGAAACCATTTATTTGATGAAACAAAGTCTGACCAGTTTCTTTACTGTGCAGGTTTCTTACCTTGGCCAGCACATATGGAAAGGGCCCTAGATGCCTCTCCTCCACTGTAAAAGACTCGCTTGTCCAATACCTTCTGTGACGACTCTGAGCATGTTGAACTTGACAAATAATAAACCTTAAAGACAAAACATGCAGTCCTTAAAGGTCACAATGTGCAAAGAATGTTCAACTCCTAACCCTTGTTTAAGTGTTATAATGTTGTATTGTTGGTGAACCAGTCCCCAACAAGTATATACATATAATGTAATATTACGCTTTGCACTTTGTTTGACCGTAAATGTTTTATATCCTTTGTTCATGCATTAAATACTGTAGGTCAGTTTTACACCAATTAATTGCTGAGTAATAGAAACACTGAAGACACAGGCTTATAACTTTACAAAATATCTTGACCAGTGTGGAAAAATTACATCAACAAAATATGAGTAACTGACTTTTATAGATAAAAAGAAATGTGTCCCATTATTACATAATTTAAGGTAATATTGCACTGTATTTTCCTTCCCCAAATACAGAAAACAAAATGTTCATCTTCAAGTAAAACTGGATATAATCAGAAATTGACATGTGAAATAAAGTAATATTCATTCTGAATTAAACTAACAAGAAGAAAGAGTTGAAGCCATTGCTGCTAATGTACGTACCAGGAGGATAAAGCAGCGCATGATGCAAGTTCAGGATGTCCAGCCCCAAGGGTTCGAGGACTAGCTTTTCTGACATTTGAGCAAGTGAAAACCCTGCCCTATTAACCCTCCCAAGACGCACACACACATACACACAAAATTATAGCAATCGCAGGATAGTGTATGTGTGTGTTTATTCAGTCAGCATTCAAATCTATAATTGTCAAGCACTTCACTGTTTGCTCATGACAGTGAGTGATGCTTGCAGTGATCAGGCTTTTTGAAACACTCCCTTATAAAATATTCACTGACACAATGTGCAGCAGTTACTAAACAACCACCACTCTTGCAAAATGATTAACAGTGTGCTATGAGTCTTCAGTTTTTCTTTCTTGGGATTCAACATACGTTAAGTGGACTTGGCACTCATATTTGTCTGGCTGAGGACTTTTTATGATGCTGCCCTCCAAGCTCTCGTTGTGGCATCATCAAGTTTCCCCTGAAGCATCATTTTTAATTGCAGTCTGGAAGCAGAGAAGCTCTGGTTTACACTCAGGAACAGCAGCATCAAATAACCAGGAGCTGTTTTTGTTGATTCTCTGGAACATGTTAATGCATTTTTTCTCTTGCTTTGCTTAAACAAAAACTCTCGTTAGAGATTCAGAATTAGAGCTAAAAAACTGAGAATGGCAGGACGTTGGTGGTGCTTTAAAAACAGTACATTTAAGATTCAGAAACCTTTATTCCACTCATTGCTTTACAGTCCTGGATGGGTTAATGCTGAACAAAATTCACCATACATCAACTCTGTAGTAAGTCCCATGAGATCAGAAAGTGTCCATCAAAACACACCACAAACAAGAATAAAAACAAGTGAAATCTCCATATTTACTTTACTAGTTACTGGTCCCCAACTCCCTAATATACAGAGAACACAACCTAGAGCAGCCTCAGAAAGTCTTCAGACTCCTTCACTTTTTGCACACTTTATTGTGTTGTAGATTTAACTGAGGCCACTGTGAACTTTGCTTCACCACAATTTCATCGTGGAGGTCTACAGTTCCTTGGACTTCACTGTAAAATGTGAGACTTCATACACAGGTGTGTGCCTTTCTAAATTATGTTCACTCAATTCAGTTTGTCACAGATGGACTCTAGTCAAGTTCTAGACACGTCTCACTGAAAAATGAAGCAAGCAGGATGCACTTGAACGCAGTTTGTAGTGCAACAGCAAAGGGTCTGAAGACAAATTAAAGTTGTCACTTCATTGTATTGGGTGGATATTAATGGGCAAAAATGACGTGCAAAGTGTAAAAACAGTGAAGGGCTCTCAAAACTTGAAGCCATTGTACAGCTCATATATCAAAAGTTTGAAAGCAGTGATTAGAGACAGTTAGTGGAAGACAGTCGCAGTTAGTCCTCTTACAGTAGCTAACATACCAAAGCATGCTCTGTGCCCCCTGGCCCAGGTGTCATCTAGAATCAGTAGTGGGCAGGGTTTGTCCTACGAAGACGATGATAGAATCTGACTTTTCACCTCCTCTCTCTCTGGAGGCACAGCTCTCAGCTTGACTGTGCTGGTGTGTGTTTCCTCAGCATCTGACCCAACAGGGGTCTCCCCTCCATTGGCATTGGTGGCCTGGCTGTCGGAGGACGAATTTGATGATGTGGAGGACACGCGGGACTTGGCATCAAGACCCTCAAGGACATGTCGAAAGAGTCCATTACTGATGATGTCCTCATTGTTGTTGTTTCCTTGGACTGGGTCAGCAAAAAAACATTGTCAGGGATGCAATTTTATTGTTAATATTTGTTTGACTGTCAGTTTTCATACCTGGCAGTGGGGAGGTCAGCGCTCCCTCTTCTCCTCCAGAGCTAAAGAAGACATCCAAAGCCTCCTGGTCAGAAATGTCAATCGGCTCCATCTGATCCAGCAAGTCCACGTTCACCTCCATAGATGAGATGCTGCCAATGGGGGCTGCGGGAGGAGAGGACCAAATAAAATGATGTGCATCTGTATACAAATGTGCTTGTGTTCACAAATGCTAATGTCCAACTCACGTCTCTTGTAGTCTCTGATACAAAGGTGAGCTGAGGAGAGGTAGACGTCCACGTCATGCTGGAATACCTCCTCAAAGAAACGTTGTCTCTCTCTCAGTTTGAGCTGCTGTGCTGCATCCACATCTGGCAGCCTCTGGCCATGCTCACTCTCTGCTGGTAATCACAATGGCGGGACAGCTGTTAGCACCCAGATCAGGTAAACATTTACGCCTGACACGTGGAGTCTCATGGCCAGAGACTACAAGGCTGCATCATACAAATGTATTTCACTGACCGGTTGTTGGGCTGAAGAGGAAAGTGTGCAAATCATTGAAACCACTGTGTGTTGTATGTTGTGATAGATGTTGTAGTTTGAGACCTATATTACAGCCACACAGGGGTCAAATGGAGGTAACCAGAAGGGGGAGACATTTAGCTGTAAGTGACATGTATAAAGAGGTGGATTCCACATGTCTAGACTCTGCTCTGCTCAGAGATGATCTGATATGCCTAATATTAAACATAGCAAGACATAATGAAAGATCGGTTGCATATATCATAAATTAATGTAATGTATTGCTAACAATTTTCCACTGAATGCCCATTACTGTGGATTAAGATTCAACCCAATGACACCCTTGTCTTTCTGATAAAACAAACTGTTGCATTTATCTGCAGACTAATTAAACTGCCCAAAATCCAGAGTGTACCAATCTCTGAATCAGGTCTGATGAACAGATCGATTTGCCAAAGTAAGCTGCCAGGTCTTTTACTATATTAATCTGGTCTGAGATACCATCCGATCCCATTTTCTACCTCATCAGCATCATTGTAATGAAGTGACAGTCCAACGTGTGAGTTGGTGTGGGGTGACCCATGAGAAGACCAATACCACTCATGGTCTCTTAACCTATCTTAGCACAGAGGCTGGAAAAAGAGGGATACTGCTCACCTGGCTTGGTAACAATATCCACCTACTATACCAGCACATCTGAAGCTCACTGACCACAAGTTGATGTTTTTGCACAAATTAAGCAGATTACATAGAATTGTTTTCTGCTTCCCCCAGTCTTTGTGCTAATCTAAGTTATACTAGCCTTACAGACACTATAGAAAAGGATGTCAATCCCATAAGTGTGCAGTGATCAATGGTGCAGTTATTATCTCAACTGGTGCATTTTCATACTATTTCCTTTATCACTGAGAATCTGTGTGTTGCAGTCAGTAGCGCAGTGTCTGAGATTTGAGGAGCTATTACATCCTCCAGGCACAGGCTGGGCTAATTGGATAAGGCTTTGTGGCCGTGTTCTAAACTGGGAGTCAAGTGCGGATTATCTGGCCTGTGTTGAGAGCAGCAGTAACAGCAGGTCTATAAATACACGGGGGGTGATGGAGAGCAGAAAGACATTCTACTCAGGATGTTTACAATAACATGAAAGGATTCCAGGGATTTTCTCCTGTCTCTGACAATAAAGAAAGAAAGAAAGAAAATGTAGAAGTTGCATAAAAGGATCACTGGGTTGCTATCTTCAGAAGGCTTCATCGGCACAGTGCACAGTCACGTCTTTGGTGATGGCAGTGCACAAATCTGTTACTGAAGCTTTGCTCTGCCCTGTGTGACAGACTGGCTCCAGGGCGCAGGGGCCTCACTGGCTCTGGGATCAGTGAAGCAGCCTTGGAGTAAAGAGACTTTAGGGGCAAGTTAAACCCCAGGGCTGATGGGCATACAGGATGTGAGCGTAGACACAACCTGGAAATATAAAGTGAAAAACAAACATCTACAAGTAAAGTGACTTAATACATTGATCATACTATTGTGTGTTTGCTTCACATTAAATTATTTGATGGCATGTCTGAAAGCATAAGTCATTTCCATCACTGCTCTTTTCCAAAAACAGAAAGCAGGTGTCACTACAGGTCCCCGTGCAGGAGACGCAATACTAGTGATTATGCAGCGAACAAGTTTGACAGTGCAGCCAGTCACAGACTACAACTGCTCTTTTCCTAGTGGTGGTACAGTACTGAGATGGCAGTCTGTCTTGTGTCACTCATCTTTATGTATTCTGTTCTGGCAGCATTTCCATCTTTGTGTAGATGTGTATGGTTGGGAATCTGTGATGCACTGTTACACAATCAGACACACTAGGGAGCAGAGCTGACAAAGCAAGATGTCAGTCCCAGTCAGGAGCTTCCCGTTTGACACGTGTGTTTGGATGAAAACAAGCCCTTGTTAGTGCGACCAGCTGAGGACATCATCTCAGACAAAACAATGACCAGCCCCCCTTTTCTTTCAAAAGAAGAGAAAGCAGCCATTAAATAGCATGTTTGTGTTGCAGCAGTCTCCAAGAAAACCATGCTTTTCATTACAGGCTACATTTTAAAGTGCTTATCCTGGAGTTTTTCCCACTGATTGATCACAGCATTGATTGTTTGTACTTAAAGGCTGAGGCCCGTAGAGAGCTAAAGGTTACCTACAGATGCATATCCTCGCATTGATTTTGCTTCTCTATCTAGTTCTGTTTTCCACTGACTCACCTTGATCAATACTGGCTCTGGATGACCCGGGTGACCTCTGATTAGTACAACCACTCACATGGGAAAATCCTCTGTCACAAGTAAAGCAGGGTCCACTGCTGATGACATCACATGCGCGGTCTGTTACAGCCCGGCCACAAGCCTGAATCTAAAGTTTCTTGCCACAAGACGTCAGCCTGTGGTTGCCCAAAGGGGGGGTACAGAAAGACACTGTGAACAACCTGCAGACATGAGCTTGACCTTAAGTTCTTTCCTTTTGTTATTCCTACTTTCTGTTTTATTGCTTTCTCTCTTTCTTTCTGCATATCATTCTGCCTGTTGATATTTTTGTCCAACAATTTGTCTCTGTCCCTGTTTTTTTCTGTCTTCTTTCCTTTTGATCATTTTTACTTGTCCATTGTCTTATTTTCTTCCTTTTTATCTACTTCAGTCTCTCTTTCTCAGTCCTGTTCCAGTGTGTCTCCCTTTCCCTATTTCCGGCTTTTTGTCTCTCTGCCTTTTTTCTGTATTCTTTAACTTTTTCTGTCTTTGTCTGCCTATCTTTATTTCCTTCTTTTTTCCCACTCTTTTCTGTTTTTTCCTTTTTCTGTCTCTTTCTATCTTTTCTGTACTGTTTGTTTATGAGTTTCTTTTTGTGTCTCCCCCTCCATCCTATCTGTCTTCCCTTCTTTCCTCTGAGTGCTTTGGGGTTTAAGGTCATATATTAGGGCTCAGGCCCAGCTGGACATACAGAATGACTAAAACAGACAGAGACAGACAGTGGGGACCGGATGTGTCTGCGTGCCACTCAGATCACCCCCACATAAAGACAAACCCAGATCCTCCACTCAGAGGGCAGAGAGAAGGAGCCCATTCAGAGACGGACAAAAGCAGAAATGTAAGGGAATGGGACTGGCCTGCACTCCATAGACATGATGCCAGTTGGAGGAAATAATTCTGGATGTAGCAGAGTGGGCATTCACATAAACTCAGCCTTTAATTTGCCATACTGAGCCTGCAGTTGTGCTAGTTCACTTTCTGTGAAAACTGTCATGATGACAAAGAGAAACTGCTTCCAGGAGATATAATGCATTATCACTACATGATAATAGAGAAATCACTCAGTGCTCAACTCTCTTCACTTGGACTATATTTGTTTTTTTCTGAGCAGACAGCATTTTCTAATGTAAAAAACCTAAATGCAAAAAATCAGGACACTGTCTGTATCTATTCAGTATCTACATGTCGTGTTTCTTTCCCTGTCACATTTTCTAAGACAAGATTTTGAAAGGTCAGTTTAGAAGCACCAACTGCACAAACAACAGAGACAACGCATTGATCTCCAGGCTAAATGAAGGGGTAGGAGGGCTCGGTGTCGCTCACAGGCTACCATTAGCCCATCACTGCGCTAAATGTAAATGTGAGCTCAGAGGCTGAATCCCCTGTGACTGGGGGAAGAGGGAAGGTCACGGCAGAACAGAGCAGAGAGAACTGCTCCTCCAGATGATCCAGTTGTTGAAGCGGCATAGTCTAAAAACCCTCGGTAAACAACAGTTAAACAGAACCTCCAGGGGAAAACATTGTTTCCGTTTCTGCTTTGACCATAGATAGGTTTACTTAAGTTTGATTCTGCTCAAGTGAGCTTTTTCTCTGAGAAGTGATTTTTGTACAACTGGGACTTGTGAGGACTTCCCTGTTTAAATGACTCCAGTGGTGGGCCAGACTTCCAGCATAACACTGACCTCAGCAGCAAGAGCTGGCTATTAACAGTCTGCAGCTGATCATTAGTGGATCAGTCACTTTGCCAAGTCTGTTGCAGTAATTAAGAGTCTCAATGGTCATGAAGAGTGGTAGAAAAACTGGGAGGCTGCAGGTAGGTGACCTAGCAGAAATGTAGCCATAAAATCTAGTGCTAATTTATCAAAAAAAAAAAACAAAAAC